GCATAACTTCGTATAGCATACATTATACGAAGTTATACGAGCACGAAGAATCGTGCTCGCTTTAGCTATCACTTGAGAAAGAAAAAGGATAAGGAACAAAGAGAAAGAATCAGCAGTACAGCTGTTCCACTGCTCGACGCTAATCGAAGTGACGCGACTCGACGCGGCACACGTACACGGGCTGCTCGCTTGTGGTATGCTGCAAACTTTCCGAATCTGGCAGCTCTGCTGTGCGTTCCCATCTCGAGGGAGAACATTCCGGGAATTACCGAGCCTCAAATGAGACTTCCCTTCCTGTCTTCCTGCCATTTCCTGACGAGATCACGGAGAATGGTACTTCCTCTCCAAAGCTAGGGTAGATGCCTAAGTGCTGGTTAACTCTGTAAATATTTTTCCATCCTTGGAAATACCTTTCTATCTCGATAACCTTCATCGCTGTGATACACCGCGCTACGCCAGCTCATACACACGCATGCACTTCCACTCACCTTACCGCCTTGTATAGAACTACTGGTAATACAATAAATGTGATATTTCTTTTGATAATCAGTGCATTAATAAGTTCGGATCTCCTCTTTTCCTGAATTCTGGCAACGAGCTAATCCGCGACGTCGGGAAATGTGCAAAATGAAAGGAGAAAAAAAAAGAAAAAAACATAACATACATATTCAAAGTAAAAGATTTTATTCGAGTCCTCTCAGTATATTTATTAAATGAAATTGAATAATAAGTTTCTCAAGGAGTAAGCCGTTTGGGATCACGCGGAAACATAGACACTTTGCGAATATTGTCCAGACCGAGATATAGCATTACCACACGCTCCATGCCTATACCACCACCAGCATGTGGCGGGCAGCCATATCTGAAGGCGTCAATATATGATTTGATTTTTTCAATATCTAAAACAAAATTTTGCTATTAGTCAAATCATTAGTCAAATTTTTTATTTAAAAATAAAATACGTGAGAAATGTATTGTACTTTGCTGCTGTAAGTAAGTAGGTAAGTAACAAGATTCTACAAGTAAAAAAAAAAAAATTAATATATATATATATATATATATATATATATATATAAAACGGAAAAAATTACGTATGAAATATATCCATCGTTCGCAAAGAATTTTGAAAAGCAAATCATAACTTTAAGAATACTTATGTAAACATTTTACTCACCAATTCCGTGATGTTTAGCGCGTTCGGTAAGAAAATTCGGATCATGAATACGTTGTGCGCCAGATATGATCTCTTCGCCCCTCATAAACATATCGTATGAATTGGATGCTTTCTATAACAAAATATTGACAATTATTAAAGAAATATCAAAAGCGAGAATATATACCGTATGATTATACAATACCGGGTTATTTGGATCCGGCATAGTATAGAAAGGTCTTACAGCAAGAGGATATTTGTCCAAAATGTAAAAGTCAGTATCATACTGAAAGAAAAAAAAAACATTTTTAATATTTATTATTTAATATTATTTTATATTTATTATTTATTATTTATTTAAGACACAAAGACATTTAAAATGCATATAATAAATTGAAAAATAAATTTGATTATAAATTAACGATAATGGCAATAAATTAGTCAAAACATTTTACTTTTTAAGATTCTTTAAATTTCCTGTTATTTTATATTTGTGCCTTTTGTAATATTCATTTTATCTTGATTATCGTTTATTTCATATACATTCTATATTCTATATTCTTCTATACATTTTAAAATTATTCAGTACTTTAAAACTATTCAATACTTCAGTACTTACTTTGCTTTTAACAAGTTTTCCCAAGAGTTTTTCATCCGGCGTCGATAAATCATCCTCTTCTCCCAGAGTCACGCCTGCTTCTGCTAACAGCTCAATTGCCTGTGGATATTCCAATCTCAAAGTTGGTTCGAGAAATTTAAAAGGCTCCACTGGATATTGTTGACTGACTACTGCTATATCGTCTGCATAACTGAATATGAAATTAAATTAATATCGTGAAAACATAAGACATACAAAGGACCGATGAATATAAATATAACTAACATGTCACGTAAGCCTTTAAACAATTCTGTAAACATCTGTCCAATGGTGTCCATTACTTCATGATAATGATATTTGAAAGCCATTTCTAGATCAAGACCTACAAATTCTGTCAAATGTCTGTGTGTATTGGAATCTTCCGCTCTGAAAACTAATAGCGATATTTTCTCGGTATGTATTGTTAAAAATATATACTTGAAAAATATTATTTTTGTACATGTCATGTTGTAAAAAATATTGTAAATATAATTAAAATATTCATCTACGTGCACGTATGCTATTAAAATAAGAATGAAACGTAGAGAAATGAAAAGTAGATAGAAAGATCGAAATCAAAAAGTTTAAAATATAAAAGATAAGTAAATTTTCTTTTCATAATATTTATACTTGATAAATTGGAAATTAATCAACCTTTTTATATTTTGAGTCAATCATAGTTTGTTGTATCTGCTAATAATTTGAAAAATTTAAGAAATTTGTGCATTCTATATACTAACAATTTTCAAATAAATAATTCTTATTTTTAGAGATTTTTCACTAGACATAAGATATACCTGCACCGATAGTAAAAACCTTGTCAAAATCAGCGGCAATCGCCATCTGTTTATACAATTGTGGTGATTGAGCTAGGTAAGCATTACTCTTGAAATAAGATACTGTAAATACATTTGCCCCACCTTCACTGGCTGCAGAAATGATTTTAGGTGTGTGAATTTCAACAAAGCCCTGCAAAGAATAATTGAAAGAAACAATTCAAAAAAAATTAAAACATACTTACCTTCTTCGTTAAAATGTCTCTAAAGAGTTTACAAACACCAGCTTCCACTCTGAAAATCGCTTGATTGGCTGGAGTACGTAAGTCCAGAACTCTATTATCTAATCTAGTATCCTGATTTACTCGCACGTTCAGAGTTGTTTCATCTATCTCACCAACAGATCTTGCTGCGTCTTCTATTTGCAAAGGAAGTTGCGGTTTTGCAGCACTCACCACGAATATTTTCTCCAAATGAACTTCAATATCTTTTTGCGAACACGATTCAATTTTCAATGGTACAGGCATTACCACAGCCATGACATCGATTATAGATTCTTTTGTAATGCTAAATAACATAGAACGTCATATTAATATACTTTAATTCTATATTTCGGATCTTATGAGAATCTTTGAGAGTTTACTTAGATATAAATTTAATCATTTGTTTGCTGATTTTTTCATTTATAGAGACTAATCCCTGCACTGTGTAGGACTGTTGTCTTATCACAATAAAGCATTGTTTGCCTATAACATGAGGCATAAAATTAGTAGAAAATAGAATTTTTTTTTATTTTTACAAAATATCATTTACCTTTTGCACGACTAGTATGTAAGCGACCTCTTAGCCAAATTGTTTGATTTTTCAAGCTTATATCTAAATCCTTGATTACTGTAAACTTCCTATCTTGGAACTTTTCCTTACTCTGAATCATATTCATTTGTCCATATTTTCCCACAGATACATCTTTAGTTTCATTTGTAGACTCTTGCTGGAAATGTTGAAATACATATTGAAATAACAGATAAAAATGCTGAATAATGTATAACTATTACATATTCTATAAATCTCTCATCAAATCTGTTTTTTTTCTATTTAATTAAGAGAAAATTATTTTATAATTTAATTTCATTTAACAAATAATGATTACAAACTTACAGACTGGGCATTTCTCTCCACCTTTTTTGCTGCTTTTTGTGCCTCCCTCTGCTGCTTTTTAAGTGCTTTTTTAGACATCTCATCTCTTTATAAATAAAAATAACATTTAAATATTTGCACATTGTTTTATTAGTAATAACAATGCTAAATAACCAATTATACAAGTACGAAATTAAACAAGAAGGGAAGGTGTGCATCACAGTAGGGCCTGACCACAAATCAGTTATGAAAATTTGTTTTGTGAAAAATATCATCTCAGTCAGGAATCAAACCTGAATCTTCTGCTTACCAAACAGGTATCTTATCCTTTCGACTACCGAGGCATATAATGATATTCATCGTAATAACGTGGAAATAGCCATTAGAAAATGTATTAATCAATTTTTATTATATTAACAAACATTAATTCACATACAAAATAAAACATCTATTTTTTTCATCTATTTTGTTTTTAAAAAGCATAAAACTTACAATTTACAAATATTTAATAAAAAAATAAATTGTATAAGCAAATCAATTAATATGTGATAATAATAAAATTGATTTAATACCCTGTTAAAGAAGATTCCATTGGTTTATCTACACCCATCTGTAAAAAATTATATGCAAATTACATCATCTTTTAGATATATATAATATTTTCAAGATATATTGATATGCATCTAAAAATTTATTAAATATGTTTTGTATATAATTTAAAAATTATTGATGAGAATACACACACACACACACACACACACACACACACACACACACACACACACACACACACACACACACACACACACACACACTAT